ATGGTTAAAGATTTTTGATTGATTTGATGTCACATAACGTAATCATGATGAAAATCTTGAGACCATCACTATGATATTGTAACATAAAATGTATCATCCATTTGATTTCCAAGCCTTAATGTTTATTGTGTGAATAATCCAATTCATTTAAGTTCCCAAAGATTAAGTTATTACACGGTAGCTGATAATGAATTCAATTTATTCTTGATTATGACCTTATAGTTTATCTATACTTTATTAGAGTGTTTCAATACAGCGGGTTAGTATTCGTGTTATCTATTAATAAAAGTTGTCATAAATCTTCTTATTGTTAAGTATCTTTGACATATACTATGTATGTGTTTATACAACCATTAATCAGTTACTTTAACCTTCTTTAAATGTAAAGTAAAAAAATATTAAACTATGATGTATTCTATTATTTAATCATGTATAGCTTTTGTAATCTATTTAAATTAAACATTGTATTTACTCTAACATATATTATTGTAACTCATAAAAAAATATTGTGCTTAACCAACACCAAAAGCTATCAAACATACATAGTAGCAGGAACAAAAAAATACAACAATAGAACACATACAATTATATGAAAATCATTACATATTCGAATTACAAGTTGTAAATCATTTTCATGAATTGTTGTTGCTATTATTCATATTAGATTTACAAGTTGTAGTGAGTTGAGTTCTCCAACAAGTATGGAATCACATAGTTTTGATAGGAAAAAAGTTCCAGCATTGGCAAGACACAAAAGGAAGAAACTTCTTAAAGAAAGAAGATCGAAAAGGAACAGAGTTGATGATAATGAAATGAACTACAACGTATGTTTTAATAGGTACAATCCTCCATCCAGAGTTCATGTCAAAACACCACTATCTAATATCACTTCTGCAGTGATGAATGAAAGAAACCATAATTGTAATGCACAAGCAAATGGATCGGTTATTTCAACTGCACAAAGATTGAACTTGGATGTAAATCAGTGTGTGTCATTCAATCTATTTAAGCATTTTGATTTGGAGAATCAACATTATGCTTCTTCATCAATATCTAATCTCACAACACCCACCTTTGCATCAGGCCGCTCCAAATCAATCATTACTCTTGATGCTTTGTCCACAAAATAGGTTGCAACTTCAACACATCAGAGATGGAAGACGATTATTCAATAAGATGTCAGAGACAGACAGACATAGTGACAATATTATCAACAATTGTGGTGGTCAGGTGGTGTTCAATTCTCCATTCAGTTTCAATACAAATACACCTCTAAGTGGTATAATATCTTCATGGTCTAATCAAATATAAAATAATTTAAATGCACAGCCAAGTGGATATATTTTTTCATCTAAAAAATAGTTGAATGTTGGTGTTACTTGATCTGTGATTGCCAATCTATTCAATACTTTTTCAAACCTTGATCATGGATGCGACTCTTCATCCACAAGCAATGTACCTACTATTACAAATGTTAATATTGAAAGTGATGAATCATTTGAAGAAGATTCAACAGATAAATCACTTAGCAATAGTTCATGTGAATTCCTAAATGAAAATGCAGACTATGACACAAGTTCAAGTGTTGATGATGAAAAAGAATATGATCCCAATTCTACACTGCTGAATTGTCAGAATGCTGGTATGTATCATTGTAACAAATTTAAATTTTTCAATACACGTAATTTACATCTAAAAAAGACCTGCATCTAGAGCATTTTCACTTTGCAGTCATATATGTTGTAAACTTGATGTTAGTTATGAGTATATTATTTACTATGATGTTATGTCTCAATTTTGTTTAATTTAAATATGTTATTCAGATATTGGTGATCCTACCATTGAATACACACAATGTGGAGCACTTATGTGGTATCAAGAGAAGACTGACAAACGAAAATATAGTGTAATTCATAAGTTCTAATTATATTGTGGAAATGGTAAAGTTGTATTTCCATATTTGGAAACACCGCCACTATTACTCAAGCATATTTTGTTTGATAACCATTACAGATTGTCGAAATTATCAGTAGTATTGCATATTGTACAACACTGTGTTTGCCTTTACGTCTATGGGAATGAAGTTTGGCAATAAATTCCAAACGGGAAGATGACCACCTAACATAAGAATACATGGACAGTCTTGTCATAGAATTGGAAGCATGATATCTTTGCCTGGACAGTCACCAAAATTTGCCCAACTATATATTTACGACACTGACAATGAGATTCAACGTAGAATTAAAGGAATATGATAACGATTCAGATCTTACTTAGCCTTATGACATAATTATTGTTGCTTTTTTGGTTGTTTATATTATCACATGTACTTATTTTGAAACATATGCATACTAAATGGTTTATTATATATTGCAGTAACAATCCCAATATACTTTTAAAAATGACATTGTTCTATTATGTTGGATGAGTTCAACACATACGCTAAATCTTTTAGAATGGCAACACATAGACTAAAGGATTGTCTTGTACTTGATCTCAGACTCAAGTTAATATCTAATAGATCAAAAGATGGAAGAATTTACAACCAACCGATTGTTTCTGAGGTAGCTGCACTTATCATTGATGATGTTGATACAAGTTTCAAAAGGGATTTTATTTTTGAGAAACATAGCGGAAGGCTGAAAAGAATAAGTGAATTTCATCCAAGTTATCCTACGTTACAGTATCCATTTTTATTTTCATATGAGGAAGATGATTTTAGACTTGGTGTGCTACACAGGGAAACAAATTCAAAGACAAAATTTTAGAAGAATAAACTTACCATTAGAGAATGGCTTACTTTTAGGATTCAAACCAGACATACTTAAGCACATACACTTTTGAGGTCAAGGAGGTTGTTTCAGCAATTTTTGACTGATAGATTTACTATGATGGAGTCTCAAAGATTGAATTATATTCGCAAGCATCAGAAAAAATTTAGAGTTTTTAAACACTACAATTTGACTGGATTAGAACAACAATCAAACACTTAAGGAGCAAACAAAGGCAAAAGAGTGGTTTTATCGTCAACTTATGTTGGAAGTTGGAGATACATGGAACAATTATATTATGATGGAATGGCAATTTGTAGACATATTGGATTTCCGGACCTTTTTATCACATTTACTTGCAATCCAAATTGGCCTGAAGTTTAAAGGTTGTTTAGCAAAATTAATTTGCAATCTCATGATCGTCCAAATATCATCTCAAGAGTGTTTAAAATAAAGTTTGATGAGTTATTGTGTGATTTAACAAAAAAAACATGTCTTAAGGAGAGTGATTGCATGTAATTTATATTAACTACATTTGACTCAAGTTCTCATTCTATTTCTTTAACTATTTAAAATCTTATTTATTCATCTTTAGACACCGATATATATATATATATATATATATATATATATATATATATATATATATATATATATATATATATATATATATATATATATATATATATATATATATATATATATATATATATATATATATATATATATATATATATATATATATATATATATATATATATATATATATATATATATATATATATATATATATATATATATATATATATATATATATATATATATATATATATATATATATATATAAAATTGAGCAAACACTTTCCGTTTTTCATGCAATGTGAAGACCTGTTTGCTAACCACATGGTCCATGAATCATATGTGTCTTGACCAAATGATATAATTGTCTATCATCTTCTTTGGATGGTATCTCTACTAAAATATATTGTTTATGTCGGATGAAGTGGGATACTTGCTCGATGGATGCATGAATAGCAGAATATATATTAACAGAATATATATATATATATATATATATATATATATATATATATATATATATATATATATATATATATATATATATATATATATATATATATATTACAACTGTATCATTTGGTCAAGACACATGATTCATGGGCCATGTGGTTAGCAAATAGGTCTTCACCTTGCATGAAAAACAGAAAGTGCTCTAAATTCTTTTTCAAAAAATATCAGCCTCAAGTCATTGTTGATGAAGATGGATATCCTATATACAGAAGAACGGAAACAGGGATGAAATCAAACAATATCTAAATTATAAATTTGTCTCACCAAATAAAACATGTTGGAGGAACTTTTCATTTCGAAAGATTGTATTTTCATCTTGAAGACGACAATTCAATTTACTACAGTGATTATGAACTTATCTTTGATCTTTGATATATATAAAAGAATTTTTCGCGAGTATCTAACTAGTTACGTTAATTACAAGGGATAATGGTTGGTAAGAAAATTAAAGTGAGATCTAATATGGCACCATGGTGCTTGTGATCCTGCGCAATGAAGAAGACACGATGAAGAAAAACACTACTCAATATTTTACGTAAATGACAAACGTAAATAACCTGAAAGAATTTTTAAAAAAACTTTTAAGTATAGAATGACGTAAATTTACTTGCAATCTACCGAATGCTACATTAATTTAAAAATTTGTCAAATAATTCTTCAGAGGCTAAAATTTTCAAGTAGCATCCAATTTTAAAATTACAAATTAAGAAATCAAAATGGCATATTTTAAATGTAGGGATTTATTCGAATTAAGATAGTATATAGAGATTACGTGCATTTTTAAAAACGAAATCAAAAGGATGCCTCTGTATGTCAAATGTAGTTCAAAAATTACAGATCATAACTAGAGTAGAGACTGTTTTGACAAATTTCTCAGGGTTCGACATTTTAGTAGATACATATCACTGAAAAACTTGTTAAAACATTATTATTTGTGACACTGTTCCTATTGAACACTTGGTATATATGATCAGTATATTATTAAGAAAATAAACATATCATTCAGATATTCAAAAAAATTCACCAAAATAACAATCAAATGTGATAACAGTTGCTAAAACTCACTTAGATAAACAATTTAAGAAAGCAAAACAAGTTTGGGAACCAGCCTCTGTTTAACAAACTATAAAGAGAAACCTAATCAAACAAACTAAAGCCCATGTCATCGTCGCTTTCTTCCTTGGCCTCTTCCTGCAAAATCAACAAAATAAGAAGTTAAATAAGTTCACTATGTTCAACAATTATTTAACAAATAAGAAATGTAAGCAATGGACTTTGCAATGTTGATAATGGGATGAGACTATATTATACAATAAACTTTCAACCATGGTGTGCAAGCAATCAAGGCACAACCATGGTAATGCTAAGAAAAAGATAGCTCAATTCTTCAAATTGGCTGTAACGAAGAAATGAAACATACTGTTTTACTTAGCAATACAATTAAGGCACAACAAATAAGAAAATCAGGGACCCAGAAAAAAATAAACAATATCCAGACAATTAAGTTCTTCAGATACAGTAAAAGGGGTTATATAACCATCAAGATATTCATATAAGACTGCATTTAATTCATCATCCTAGACTACAGCAAACTCACATATACATACAGCAACTACTGAGTTTCTTTATGAGTGTGACAAATAAATTTTATAGCATATAAAGTTACCAATTACAATATTATGTTAATCCATCGTTCGGTTATATATCATGGATGCATTTTCTCTTAAGAAACCATAATCCTCGTTAATAGTATTAAAATATGTACCTTCTTGGCCTCAACAGGTGCCTCTGCTGCTGCAGCTCCACTAGCGGCGGGTGCTGCTCCACCGGATGAAACAACGGCGGCTCCACCCGCTACGCCAGCGTTCAAAACAAGATCGTCAACGTTCTTGCTCTGAGCAAGCTTAGCGAATAGGCTTGGCCAGTAGGATTCAACGGTGACATCGGCAGCCTTCAAGATTGTGCTGATCTTCTCCGCCTGCAAAAAAAACAATAACAGAGAAATGTGAGATCTGGGTGCGATTTGGGGATAACTGAAAAGAAACAGAATTGAAGAGAAAGATGATAGACTAACGGTGATTGGGATTCCATCGTCGTGGAGAATCAAGGTGGCGTAGATGCAACCCAACTCACCGGAACTCATTGTGGCGTATAGGTTGAATCACGAATTTGTGGCACGGAAAATATTAGGGTTTTCGAAGACTCAGCTGCTTGAAAATGTCGCAAAATATGATATATAGTGTTGTCCCACGGAGTTAGGGTTTCTTCAATTCGGGTCCATTATTTGGGCTTTTTGAATGAAATAATTTAGGCCCGTTGTTACATTCACACCAAATCCTCCATATATAAACATAAACATTTTATTTTATTTTGCTAAAAAAGTATAAATACATTATAGGAAAGTTTAAAAAGTCTAATAAAAAATAGTTCATTTTATTTTATTGGACTTTTAAAAAAAAAAATTCTTCAACTAAAAATTCACCTTTTCTTATAAAAAAATAATAGAAAATATTTATAGACTTAAAATTTCAAAATATTTATTGTTTTGTGCAGGTCAAAAGTACAATAAGATTGATTCAGTTGCGTGGTTCAACTTAAATAAAGCACATTAATGACTGATAAATAAATGTATCTCCATTACAGAGCATTGCCTTGGAGCACACAATTACTATCATCTTCATTGTCGAGATACATCTAACAGTCCTTTACAATTCAAATTGAATCACACGAAGTTATTCTAATTGTCAAATGTATATAAATCCAAGTATACTTCTCATTCACACTTGTATACTTCAATATCTCTTAAACATTGGTATTAACCTAACAAGTATCTCCCTCTTCTACCACCGTACTAGAAGCTTTTACACGTTGGTCATTTTCAACCTCTCATATATTCTTTATTCAAGTAAGGAACAATGGCATGGTCTATAAGAATCGTTTATTTTGTTTCTCATTATTTTTTCATCAAATTTCTCTAATCTTCTTTGTTGCATCATTGCAACCATTTCAAGTAACTACTTCTGACCGTTGTAATTGTTTCTGTTAACCATTTCAATCATTGTTAATCTTCCCACAACTACTTTCTTTTGTCTTCTACAATTAGAGGATCCAAAGTAACTCAATTAATGAATCAATATAACAATTGTTCATGTTCATAGCATCTCGCCGACGTTTCAAAGTAATGTGGCACTAGTTCTCATTCTCACAACAAAATTATTTCCTTAATGTAATACGGTGAGAGAACTGACTGTTATACTGGTTTTGCATTTGTATTCGCAAATGTTGCGGTAAGCAAGAGTCGCCACCGACTTTTCTTTTATCCAACAAAGGAAGGGGTGAAAAGAACAGAAAAAGACGTTTCGAGAGTTTTCTGAGTAAGGGGGTAGATTATGGAAAGGGAAGGTGTTAACACTTTTCCATCTGTAGTTATCTACGGGCTCTTAGATGCTTAGCTCATTTTGAAATACCTTGTGCTTTTGTGTATTTTGAAAAGTATTTTTTTGAAAGCGTCTTGTGAGGCGATTTGCTTTATGATAACTCTTGTATCAGTCCTCAAGAGTGTTGATAAAGCATTTGAAAATGTTTTTGAAAGTTATTTTGTGTAAGTGTAAAAATTTGTTTTTGAGCAAGCATTTAACAACTATCTACTTTTACTCGAAAGGTTTGTTCTTTTCCTTCTTTCATTTAGACAGTGTTATCCTACTATTAGTGAGTAAGTAGCTCTATCGTTGGATGTTTGAGGGACATTCAAAGGGACGTTTTATAGTCACAAAGGCAATTGGGCGAGAAATCTTAGTAACTACCCTAGGGTTTTAAGATCATTGTTTACCGAGGCAACGTCGAAAGGATCATCGAGGGACTTATGATCTTTTTAAACCAGAGGGTAGCCACTAAAATCTCTCACGTTTCGAGATTTGTGACTGTTTCCGAAGGAAACCAAAGTGGGAGTACCCTAGAGGTGTATATGTGCAAGTGTGCTTGTTTCAGTTTTTTGTCTTTGAATTTAAGTTTGCTAACGTTTAATTTTATGTTCTTATCATGCAATCCTATTAACATAGATCTAATGGTTAATATCGATACAGGAATTTAAAGTCCAGAAATTAAAGCTACGCTATTACATGGCTTCGAGGAGGGGGATTATTTCATGTCCAAACTTTGGGGGGAAATAAAGGAAAAAAACAATAAAGTAAAGGTCCTAATTATAGTCTATTACATCCAGTAGGCAGTTACAAAAATATGAAAATAAAGTAGAAATATCAAACACGCGTGAATGGAAAAGACGTCTAAAACCTAAGTGAAAGGAAATCTTTTTTGTTTGTTTTTGTTTTCATATTAAGAAAATAGTTGAATTAAAAGTAATTAATCTAGATCTATATTTAAAGTAGTTAATTATTAAAGAAAAATGAAATTAAAGAAAAGAGATTAATCTTCTAAGCTTTTTTTTTGTATTTTTTAATATGAAAAGAAAATGATTTAAAATCCTAAGTCTATTTAGTTTTTAATTAAAGAAAATGGTTTAAATAATTATTAATTAATTTACAAAATTAATTTAATTGAAAAAAATGCTAACCTAATATTTTGTGATTTTTTTTTATATTTAAAGTTGATTAAAGCTAAAATAAAATAATGAAAAGACAAAATAAGGGGGTCATGGAGTAAATGAATACATGGTGCAATCTGTAGAACACAAGTCTGGATCGAATCAGAGGCCCAGGTTGCCCTTTCGATCCAGTGAAGATGGTTGTCGAAGGTGCATGATGGATTTCCCGTTTGAGGTATTGGATCTGGATCAAATGGTGATGATATGATGGTACATGGCATGTACGTTTGAACTTGGAGTGTTGTGGAGTATCGAATCTGCAGGAAAATAAAACTGAGACAAATAATTTGAAAAAGGGTTTGGATCGAACCCGACCCCTCTGAGACCACTGCCTTATCACACTTTGCTTTTACCAATCAAATCAAGTGTATTTTCTATCAACTGGAGAAGCGTCGAAGCCCTAACTTCGATTGTCTTCTCCAACCACTCCCTTCGACGGAACTTAACCAAACCTGCAAAAAAAAATGTTAATTGGACCCTACTCCCCTACTTTGGGGACTGTGAATCCAACTAGGGTCATCATTTTTGGCTAAAGCGCACGGATTTGTGAGGTATGGTTCGATCAACACAAATCTGCATGAACATGATGATTCGTGTTTTAGGCAGCATGGGGTTTGTATAATGGCTCAAACCTGCATTTTGGGATCTCAGTAACACGTTAGTATGGATGGCATGCACTGAAACATAATAAAAATGCAGATACGGATTCAAATGATATATTAGAATTGGAGATGTGTGTGCATGCGTTTTTACCAATTTTTCTCGCCTTCAGTAATGACCTGTTCTTACCCTATAAACCTTCAGGAGAGGATTGCAGACCTTTTGCTTGGGTGGAGGAGGCCTGGAACGGTTGTTTTGATTTTGACCGTTTTGTGAAGATTTTGAGATTTTTGATGTGACTTCGATAGGCAACGTATGATCTCTTTGCAAAAATGTTTTTGTGGAAATGTTTTTCTTGTCTCTTTTCTTTTTTTTCTCTTGTCCGCCTGACAATGTATCCTTGGGCATGTATTTATAGGGGCATGAGGGGAATGGATATGGCAAGGGACAACCATTAACTAGGCTTTGAAAGCAAAATTAGACCAATTAGAATATTGTCATTTCTGATGGATTCCTACCCTTTTGGGTTTTGGGGTGAACCTGGACAGGCTTGACTCTTTCGAATGCCCTCGAGCCTTGCTCTTTGATTGGCTTTGAGTGGCCCTTTTCGATGGCTCTGGGCTTCATCCTTGTGGCTTCTTTGATTGATCCCATATTTTCCTTGTTCTTCGATTGGCTCTGAAACTACCCAACTAGCCCAATCGAAAAAACTTCATTCTGACCAGTCGAAGCTTCTTTTGTCATGAATGAAATTGTGCATGAAGCTTGGGCTTGGGAGCATGTAATATTTTGGCCAGCAAGCATCTTGAACCAAACTCATCAAAAGGCAAAACAAGCTTGTTTCCAACAAATGTGCGTCTTTCGAATAGACCAAATGTATGTCCTTTGAAGTCACCATTTGTGTGTCTTTCGAATAGCCCATATGTACTCCTTGTATATTCTCCGAATGGGCCACCAATGTGTGTTCATAATGTAGCACTCATGTGCTGAAGGGTTCAGAGATGGAGTCGAAGCAAGTTGTTCCAAAGGGAGCCATTGCCCAGTCGAAGCTAGCACAAAGGAAGCCAGTGCCTTGTGGATGCTAGCATGAGGGAAGCCATTGCTCTGTGAATCAAATCAGGCACGAAAGATGTATTTTCCTTGTGAATCAAAAACGAGTTGCTTCGAATGAATCTTTTTTTCTTTGTGAATCGAAAGTAAGTCCAGAGGAAGTCTTTTCCTTGTGGATCGAAAGCAGGTCCAGAGGAAGTCTTTTTCTTGTGGCTCAAAAGCAAGCCTGGAGATAGACATTGCCCAGTTGAAGCTTGCATGTAGATAGCCATTTCTTTGTGAATCGAAGGCAAGTTGAAGGGGCCTTTTGCCTTGCGGGTCGAAGGCAAGTTGAAGGGGCCTATTGTTGGTGAATCAAAGCAAACTTGTAGGGGGACATATGTTCAAATGAAACTTGTGGACCAAAGCTTGCTCGAGGGGACCCAATGCTCAATCGAAGCTGGTGGACCAAAGCTTGATCGAAGGGGGCCAAATGCCTAATCGAAGCTTGTGAAACCAAGCTCACTCGAAGGATTTTAGATGCCCAATCGAAGTACCTTGTTAAGATGCCAATCAAAAAACACCTTGTTCATATGCTAATCGAAAGACACTTGACCATCTTCAAAAAATTTATATTTTCTTTAAGCAAGTGTTTGCAACCACCCAGGTAAGAGAAGATCTTGGAAACATGAGAGGGCAAATTTTGGGGTACAACAGCTGCCCCTGTTCAATCTTCTTAAACCTGAAGATTTAGATTAGCTTGTTTGCCTTTCGTGATCTGAAGGTGGAAGATGATTGGACACTAGAGTGCCCAGAAATTTTCACTCGATGATGTGATGGTTGATTGTATAGGGAATGGGCTTAAAGATGCCATTTGGAGAAGATGACTGAGATTTGTCGGAGACGGGCTTAAA